AACAGTCAAATGAGTGATTGAAATCATTGTCTTTGGGTACCTACAGAAAATACTTTCCTGTCATCTATTTTGGTGGTTTTTATACTTGTAATTTAAAGGTGACCCTTTGCCAATTATTTCTCATATGCTAAATGCATGATTGCATATGTTCCATTTTTTATTTTATCAAACTCCTGTATTCTGTAGAAACTGGCTCCTATCTTCCTTGTTTACAATGAAGTTGTGGCTAAGAATTAATTATCTTATTTAATGACCATCTGAAATTTTTGCAACACTTCCTTGACTATAGCAAAATGTTTATTGCTGTATCCTTGTTTGTGCTGCTACACTTCTTTCCTTGGTTCTCTTTGCTATATGATAACTTCCATCATGAAGTGCTTCTACAAGATATTTCTATGTGAAAAGTGATACTCTTGTAATCCCCTACAAGTCCTATTCTGTTTTTTGACCACGTCTTAAGATTCTCTTCTGCCAGCATTGCTTCTCAATGGTATATCCATATCTTTCTTTTCTATAAACAAAAGTTTCATTTTGCACTATGGTCTAAAAGATAAATGTTAACCTCATCTTTTTATGGTTTAACATATCATCAGTGTTGCTCAGTAGGGGCTAGTATTTACCAGCACAACAACCAATTGGACAATTTCTTCTGGTTTGTTGATCTGGAATGGGTTGTACATTTGGTTAACTCAATACAAAGCTTAATGGATAACAAGTAGATCAGTAATGAATGGAACCAGGGTAAGCCTATTGCTTGGTACCAGTATTTTTTTTTTAATTTATGGTAATTGTTATGGAACTGTCTTTTTCTCTTTTCCTCTGCCCTCTTCTCTCATTGCTATGTTACTGTCACTGCCTCCTGACGCGGTCGCTGCCTCCTCCTATCAGTACGTGATGCCACCTCTGCCTCTTCCTTTTCCGTGTCTGTCTTCTCCTCCTGCTCCTACGCGCTTCTCTCACTCTCTTTCATTTCTCACTTCCTCTCTAAGATCCATGTCGGTCCGCACAGGGATGTACTGGCACATGGTATCCCCAACTATACGGGTACCATACTGGTCTGACCAAATGTTACTATTAGTACTAGACTGAGATTTGATCTTATCGTCTTGGTGTGGTTTCTTTGGGTAAACCAGTCATTGATTAATTCAACTTTAGGGTATCTAGAGTAATATAAATGGATGATTGAAGTTTTTATAATAAACATAGCTTGTATCACCCAGCAGGTTTCTGTAATGATGTATATGGAAGTAGTGACAACTTCTGCTGTATGGTAAACATTCCATAACTGGTGCAAGAAGCATCAGCAAGGATCTGCATGTGTATTTGTATAATTGCATCATGCAGGCAGTCCTGTTGGTAAGATGACTTGAGAAGTTCAGTTTCCTGTCGAAGAGATAGTTCTGACCATGTATCTCGGATTGTAACTTCTTGAATTTTCTGATCTCTAATTTCTTTTGGATCTGAATTTCTTGTTCGATCTTAATTTGACTTTTCTAGAATATGCTACTATTTATGTTGGTGGTAACTTAAAATGACATAGTTTCTTGTTTATGTAGGCTGGAGGTTCTGTGGGTTCAAATGGACGATTGCAGGGACGGCTAGAGGTTTCTAGAGCATTTGGGGATCGCCAATTTAAAAAGGTTGTGTAATGTAAAATTTTTAAATGTTTTTGGGTCTGAAGGTTCCTTTATGACATTGAATTAATTCTTGACATTCATGGCTCGCAAACATTTACCATATGTCACAAGACAATCAGGCTTCACCAGACTGTTTGCTTAAGTTGTTTTTGACCCACATGGAAAAGCCATTAGTACTGTAGTTTAACAAAAACTTCCTAATATAAGAGTGAGAGACATTGATTTTCTGTTTAATCTGGTAGATGCACAGGCTATTATGTATTAGCCTGTGCATCTACCAGATTAAACAGAAAATTATGTATTAGGGCCTTCTCTTATGTCCTTTGGGGCCTCTGCTCTCCTCTGTAAACTCATACTGATTTCAACAAGCTGGTAACTTAAAACTTCCTAGTACTTTTGTCTTATGCTGTTCATTTTCTGACATGAATTCTCTTAGATTTTGGTTCACTTCTTTAGTTTCCTCGTAATGGATCAAAAGTATGTGTTTTTGTAAAATATTGATAGCTCAGCCTTCTATGACTTGGTTTGCAAGATCGTGCAATTGATTTTTCACCAACTTAAGGTAATGACCTATTTTAATCAGTAGTGAAAACCTTAGTGATGGCTTTTGAGGCATTGGATCTGGCATCAATTTAGCATGGTTCTAGTCCTGTGAACCTCATTTCCCACATGTAATGCTCAGTATTTGTGGTTTCTCACCCCTATTTTGATCGACTGGCAGAAAAGATCTCCAGAGGAAATAGATTCCTCCTCTCTAGTTAGTCGTCTGATGTGAGTGTAGTGCATCAAGTGTGCCGTCCATGATTAACTGATGCATCCAAATCAATGGCATGCAGTTTGGAGTTATTTCATCCCCTGATGTTCATTCTTTTGAGCTTACAGAAAGAGAGCACTTCATGATCCTTGGTTGTGATGGCTTGTGGGGGGTATGTAGTGCCTGAAATCCTCATTTATCAGTTAGACTTATTTTCCTATAATGTATGATGTGCAGCCATATTTTACATTTGAATTGCTAAAACAGGTTTTTGGGCCTAGTGATGCTGTTGATTTCGTTCAAAAGCAGTTAAAGGTAAATACTGCACATACTTTGATTCCTTTTATGGCTTCTTGTGCTTCTTTGATAATCATGGGCAGTTCCTAATACTCTTGTCATTCTTCACCACAATTGTCAAATAAACTATTTTTTATTGAGATCATACTGGGGATGGAAATATACCTTCTGAACCTAGAAAAAAAACCAAAATATCATGTTTGGTTTGCTTTAGCCTGGTTTCTTTTGATTGATGAATTTAGTTCAATTTGATGATATGGGATCCGAACAACTTCTAGTTTAATTTTTGATCTGGCTTTTCTTTATATTTTGGCAGCGAAAGAACCACAAAATACTAAACTGAACTGCTTAGATACTACATAATGGTATGTTTAATCATAAAGTTAGTTTGTTTTCCATGTAAATTTGGTTCAGTTCCATTCGGAATCTGCAAATCGAACCAGGAACTGTAGGGTATCTGATCATAGTTCATTTTTACAATGCATCATGCACTCCGAATATATATGTCCTGTCTTTGTCCCCTGCTAATGTGGTAAATTTCTTTTTTTAAGATCATTCAGTACAATAATGTTCCAACTTCCAAGATACCATAGATCAAAGCTTCAACTGAAACATAAAGCTTTTCCAATTTTTATGGATCATTTGATAAGATAAATTTAGCTCCTGAGCTTCAACTTCACATTGTGCAGAAGATGACTTTCGAGTGCTGGTCAATCTTAAATAAGTTAATAATTAGGATTTTAAAAATTCATAGTATATTCCTGCTCTTCCATTTAGTTGAGTATATTAGTATAAGACATTTATGGGTATTTTCTGTAAGAATATATGTAATGATGGAATTACTGATAATGGAATATCAATGTTTGTGATATGGCACCCTAAAAGTTCTGTAAGTGGAATATTGTGGTTTTTACCTTGTGATTTTGATTATTAGTGATCTACCGATGAGAACTCATGTTTGTGGTGATCGAATACTTGCATTCTTTTGGGACATCATCCTATAAGTTTTAGAAGCAAAACTAATTTAAGAATGGATAATAAGTGTGTTTTCGTACTGTAAAAGTTCCAGAGTAGCAGTATTTTGTTTTCATATAGTTTTGGTGATTTAGACGTGAAAATTTCTTCGTCAAGATCAAAACTTTCAAATCCAATTTTGTGTCAGTATCGTGATCTTTAATATAACAAGTTGTTCAATTTCCAGTATCTATGTATCCAAAGATCAACGAAGTGTGAAATGAAACATCATTTCTTCTGTTTGTTGATATTCATCCATGTGTATCCTTTTATCTAGTGAATGTCTTTTGGAGTTCGTCCATATATCATAACACGTTTATTGGTCTTCCCAATCTTCGCTGGCCGGTGTCATTCTACTTTGAGCCCATAAATAAAAGTTGTTCATTGCTCATTCAACTTTAACCGATGGTGTTTGTTTAACATTGTGTATTGCAGGAGACATCATCTGCTACTACTGCAGCCCGTCGCCTCGTGAGGGAAGCCATTCGTGAAAGACGCTGCAAGGATAACTGCACGGCCATAGTCATCATGTTCAAGCATGAGCGTCATTCATGAATACATGCATCCATTTGATGGCTGAATATTGTGAACACTCCCCACTGTACTGTTCATTTTTATGTTCTTGTCCTGGGGATTTGTAGCCTTCATGAGGCTCTATAGTGGCATGCACTGTGTCTGAGCTATCACATGCCCTCCTGTATTCCAGAATGATAGTTGGAAAATTGATATACCCAAAATCAGAATGTATTACCTCAAGCATCCATCTTTCATGATGACATTGTTGACAAGCCCCTTCAATTTGTCTACACAAAATGCTCTGAAACATCTCCTCTTTTGATGTATATGACAAAGGGTCTTTTTGTTCACCAGATTGATGAATCATGCATATATCGGCTAAATGCATGTTACAAAAGAATGGCTATTTAGCTGATATTTGACAAGAGGCAGACTTGTGGAAGAATCTGATCACGATTGTAATGCAGAATTGCTTGCCAAAAATAGTGAAAAATTCTTGGACAATTTTATTACCAGTTGTTTGTTGTTGTATGCAGAACTTTTTCCTCCTAAAAATTGCAATCACCAGAAGAGTGTTCTGTACTGATGCTAACGTTTAATATCTCACAATTCTTCAAAAACAAACACTTCTTTATAGGCCATCTTAGAGCTGCCGTAAGACTTTCTTCGACATCATTAGAAGTAGCCAATGTGTAAGAAAACATTAGTTACAGCAACTGCAAATAGAAAACTCAAAAGTCTGAGAAGGGAGAATTATGCATTTAGTGGTAGTATCATGTATGTTCACTGTATTTCGATTTCATTAAGAAAAGCAAAGCAACATACACGATTTCTCGAGGTTCAGAAGTTTGCAGGCATCAACTCTCTCTATCAAAAATGACATCTTGGTTCTTTGTAATTCGAATAGCAACTGATTTTGTCATATATGAATAAAGACATATCACACACTCATGGTGGCCCATTCTTAAAGTTCTCAGCAAAAATGGCACCTTGATTGGTTCTGCAACGGTCTTTCCAATCTGATACAACACCATTATAAACAAAGAAGAGTCGATCTTCCAGTGAAGCAGCAGCACAAAACTGAATGATAACACCGTCATCCTGCTATTTGAAGCTTTCATGATCGAACAATTTTTGAAGGATAGCCTAGTACGGAAAACAAAGTTATGTTGCTACATCCAAAATATAATACAAAAGGCATATAACTAAAAGCCATACTCCGTTGTAGGAAACATGAATTACTGGGATAAGATTGGTCATCAGAAACCACTGAATCATGTTTTAAATCTAGAAAAACGTAGTATGATGCCAACATCCACAAGGGTGTGTAACGACAAAGTAACTTACAGGGCATGAAGAGTTTGACTTCAAACCCAGATAAAGTTCGCGAGGTGAAATCAAAAGCTTCACCGGTCGAAATTCTATAGAGAGGTTCCGTCCCTTGTATTCAACAAAACTGATCAATTCTCGTTCTAAAAGATGTTCAAAAGCCTACAGCATGCAAGTCAGATAAGGTTAAGATATGCCTCCAGAACTATCATCTTGTACGCTTAAAAGATTATACCTACCCTCAGGCACACACTGAGTTCATAACTGTCAGAGGTCTTATAGGCGTCATGTATAGCTTTATACTCTAGAAAAGAAGTTATCCATTTCAGCATTTCATTTACAGAATTGACCATAAAATAGAAAGAACATTGTATTTTTACCTTTCATCACAGAATTGAAGTTGTATAAGTCCTGTTCTTTTCTCTCCAATCTGTTCATGCACACTAGAATGTATAGCTCCAGAATTGAGACATCTGTTTAACCATGTTTAAAATAAAGGCGTCATTCATAATCCTAAACCTAGACCTGCTTAATAAGATATTTCCAACAATGTCATAATCCCTAAAGACTACCCAGCTCTCTGTGCGTGCATGTGTAAAAAAATCAGCAAAGTGTAGCTGTCTATCTTTAAATTATAATATAACAAATTAAATGAAAAACCAACTGAACTACATAATTTTGATTCAGTTCTCTTGTTCCCTTTTTAGTTTGGTTTTCTTTCAAATCTGCCAGGCCACACACACCACATGTACCCACGGCCAGATTAACCACAATAATCATAACAGGAGAATCCAAGGTAATTGACCTATATATGAAACATGAGTGACTAACCATGCAGGCTGTCAGTCTTTGGTTGCCTCTGGTTGCAGATCTGTGCATTCTTGAAGTTATCCAGTGATAGCAAACCAGACTCCAAATTAATGAAAGACACAGCCCGAAATCTGAAGCATGTTTGTCGCAGGATGAATGAAATACTTGAAAGAAAATACCATGGTGTACTGATGATTAAAAAAGAGGGTGATAGAAAAACTTACAGAAACTGCACCAAGTTGCTGACTGTTCCATCAACATCCAAGAGGGAATCGAGGATTTTGTCGAAATTTTTGTCATTTAGAATATTCTGAGGCAAAGTCAAGGTTTTATATACCAAAATTACAATTTCATAAACATAGCTATTTTAAAAGGAAACATATTCATGCACAATCTATACTCTGGATCCAACAAGTTAGATTAGCTATGAAAATATCTTTATGCTTGAGGATTTTACATGAGATATATGTTGAATGAGTTTAATCTAGGATGTTACAAAGTAAATTCAAGTTATTCACTACTACCATGATGCCTCTTTAATTCCCCATCAAGAGATTTGATAGATTTGAATTGCCACATAGGATTTGACAGGCCTAGTCCTTGTAACTCAAGTTAGCAGAATATCTAGTTAAGACAAGTAATATACATCAGATTTATACAAAAACTAATGTTCCTCCAATACGCAACACAAATACCATTGTAAGTGTCTATATGAGACGAACAGAAGGATACTTGAACCCTTGAGTTGAATTCTGTAATATATTTAGAAGGGAGACCTGAATCTTGTGGCAGGTATAGTATATATTCCAGCAATCTGCATGCCAAATTTAGAAAACAAAGGATCAAGATTCAAAAGAAGTTGCTCCACAAGAAATATCTGCATAATATTGCATATGATGCAGGATGTAGGAGGATATAAAGGATCACCTTTTTATTTCTTCTCTTGAAGGAGGAACAAAAAGTAGCTTCCTGTGGGAGAACCTAGATCGAACTCTTTTTTCAAGAAGTTGGTCTGCATCCTGAAAAATAAATGATCTAATAGCTTAGTGATACAAATATAACTATAAGTTGTTATAAACTTGAACTGCCACTTGAGTTTTTTATCATCACAATTCTTTCATGGAAATAGTCGAAGTAGGGACAATTTTAAGCAAAGTAGCCCTTCAAACAGATAAGGTGACATCAAGAGGAAAAAATGAAAATACCTTAAGCAGTGTACTTGTCTATTGCATGGCAGTAGCAAATGCATGACTATGAATAGAAAGCAGAGAGAAGAAATGTTAAAGCTACATACCAATCGACAACTCACACCAATGACTACAGCCTGCGAAGTCAGAGTTTGCATTGCATCTAGCAAACTATAAAGTAATCGTTGCTTACCCTGCAAATGCAAGAATGAGTTGAATTATGTTGCTTTGAGACTCTGACATCATAATTAGCTAAAAGGTGTACCATAAGATGGAGGGAGCATTTAATCCTGAGCTAAGAAAGATGAAAAGAAAGAATTGACATGAAAACCCACATGTATACCTGAGCAAAAAGATCAAACTCATCCAGCACAAAAACAATTGATTTATGAGCTAATCCACACTCCCTGGCAACAAAATAATATTCAAATAACAAAGAGACAGTCAAACATCATTGAGCATGCTTAGTACTTGTGTGAGACTCATAAAAAAATGACACTTACCGCATCATGTCAATCATGAACTGGGAGTTATCATCAGATGAGGCCTAGGGAACATAATATGAGTTCTAAAGTTCATATCATTGTGTTATTATATAGCATGTCAGATCATTTATAATCCTGGAAAGAAATATAAAGAGAAGCCTTACCATTTTAGAGAACAGTAATTGGTGTTCCAAGCATAATTGCCTAGCAATTTCCTAAAACAATAGAAGTGCCTCATAAAAGTCATAAACAAAATGTTTTAGGTAATTCTCAAGGAAAAGACACAAATATTATCCACAAGATCAAGAATAGAAGTTTAGTATGGATATCAATGCAGACTTTTAACACCGTAAGTTGCATTCCAGCAAAGAAATATTTCAAGTTACATTTGACCATCCCAAAGCTTAAATCTTGGAGAAACAAATATTCAATGACTTATAATTAGAAAAATAAAAAAAAGTGATGTAGGTTATTAATAACACCAAACTGGATCATTGACTCAAAACAAAAATTGAAAGCTTTGTTCCTGTTTCCAGTATCAAGATTAGGTCAGAAACCCAAAATATTTATAATTTAGTTACCCAAAACATTTCTAATTTAGTTTTTCAACTTGCTTTATTTTGCTTTAGATTTTTAGAACAAAAATAAAACAAAGAAGGTGAGTTTTACAAAAGCCACTTAGACTTCTCCACAAATTAACCTATGCACCTATTTTAAGTTAATGAGAGGAATTCTCAAAGACATAATAGCCATTTCCTTTCCATATTCGTTTGTTAAATCCATACCAACAGAAAGTACACTTGCTGGATTGATCAAGGGTGCTATCCGCTTAAACCAAAAAACCCACATAGGTCAGAGAGAGGAACATGTAATACCACAGATAAATTGTAAAAATCATAATAGTAAACGAAGCTCAAGTAAAAAGCAAGCGTGGTAAGGATCTCACCTTATGTGCGCAATTGTCATCATGATGCAAAAGCCCACTTAATCTGATCTGAAATGCAAATGGTCAATATTCATAGAATAATCATCTTGTGTTGACAAGGACACAGTATCAGATATAGAAACGTAGTTTAGGTCACAAAAATTTAAGACAACAAAAGAGCAATGGAAAACATTTTAAGGAAAAATACTGTACCACAGAAATCGTGTCGGGGTGTTCGGCCTTCAAGTCTTCAAGAACCAGATCAACTACCTAAAAAACAACAAGGAAAACATAAAAACGCGCCACCCAAATGACAATTGCATTGAATTATCGAAAAGTTTGGTCTTTCGGGAAGGCCTTACCGCAATTTTTCCAGATCCCCGGGGACCGAGAAGAAGGGCAGAGTTGTTGTAGGCATCGGCCATGGAGCTGGCAATGAGGAGCTTCAACTTGCTGGGGATGTATAAATACAACATCTTTAGATAGAAATCGAGAAACGAACGACGGGGCACACCGGAAAATCCATCAAATTAAGAACCGGAAAGAGAAAAGGTAGGGTTTCGACTGGAAGATATGGTGGCGAATGGCACCTGTAATTGCTCTGAGGGCAGGATTTGAAGGCGGCGTGGACGTAGGTTGGGTCGCAGAGCCTGGCTCGGAGGAGAATTAGGGCTTTCTCGACGGCCATGGCGGACACTGCGATCAATCAAATGGCGGGAAAACCAGCGACAAAATTATACGACATTTGCGTAGAACTCTCTCTCTGCTTAAATTGAGCCTTTGCGAGTCGTGGAAGGTACGACTTAGGACGCGACTTCTGATGCAGGAAGACGTGGCGAGCATCGAGCGGACAAAAGGGATGTTGTCCGTTTTGATGTGCGCATAGACATCTGTTGTGACTGCACTCGGGTCTTGGGAAACAGAAGCGAGCACGTAGACTACACGTGGCGTGCATTGCACGTGCTTTATTCCTGTGGACACAAACCGGCAACATAAAGTTGGACCGTGGGGGAAAATGATAACAAAAACAAAGAAAAAACAGACACAGCATAAAAGGAGGAAATAAACAGAAAACAAAAACAAAATTACCCAAAAGAAGAGTGTGGGAGCCGCAATAATTGTTTCCCAAAAAGAAAACAAAAATCTCGGCTCAGAGAGAGAGAGAGAGTGAGATGGGAAGCATGGCTCTTCTCCTTCCACCCTGTACGCAGCTCCCTTGCTGTCCTCGGCACCGCATCCGTGCCCCCAACTACCGTGGCGACAACGCGCGAATCGTCGCTTCCCCGTCTACCTCGGCTTTGGATGCCCTCTCGAAGCCCTTCCGCAAGCATCGCCTCCTCTGCTCCGCTCTCCTCCAAGACGACGCTCCGCAGGGGCAGGAACAGCAGGAGCCGCCGCCGCAGCTCCCAAGTGGCGTCGTCAGCTCTCCGGTCGAAGAAACACTCTGTACGATCCGTCTTATCTTTCTTTCTTTCATTTTATCCAGTCCTTTGATTCCAACATGAATTGCTATCAAATTCGCTTCTTTTTTGTTTCTATGATTGTAATTACAGCTCCCTTTCCTTTTAAATTCTTGCACGAGTTGTGTGGATTTATTAATCATTAGGTTCTGCTTCATAGTAATTTTGCAAATTTGCATCTTTTAGTTGTTAATTAGATTTGGTTCATGGTATTTTTACGCGAGTTAATTTAGTTTGGGAATGAGAAAGATGATAAGAGATGTAAAGATTATGGAAGTATGCACCATTATTGTTGGTATTTATAAGTACAGATTTTCCAGAATGGTAAATAAATGTTAAGTTCTGCAATTCGGCATATTGCTTGTTCCAATATCAAAGTTGGATTTTCACTAGTTTATGATTTTTCATGTAAAACCATGAGTGGAGATGTTCATGGAGAAGCCTATATCAGTCTTTCAAAATGATGTTTATTAATTAAATTCACCAGATGCATCATAGGAGTGCTTAATATGCTTCCACTGTTTCTCTTCTGTTGATTTGTCAAAAAATTATGTGAACCCTTGGTTTATAAAACAAGTGAATGCCATTGAATTAGAGTCTTTGTTTGCATGAAGAACTGTTCTTGTGTGGATCATTATCTTGCTTCTATTCAATCTTCTTTAAAGTTTGAAGCACAGGATTTTGGTGAAAGGAATGTTTTAGCCAACAGATTTTGGTAGGTTGGTCGTAGACTGTCAGATTGCAAAAGGAAACTGCCAACAAGAAGCTACTAGAAGACAAGGATGGAATACATAAAGAAAGTCAAGAAACTAGTGCAGTGAAGCAAAATCTTTGATTAAGCACATAAAACACCTAAGAAGCATGTGGTGAATAAGTTTCCAATGAATTTCTGGAACTGAGCTAGTTGTGGACCAAAATTTCTGTCTACTAGGAGTTGAAACCACTCTCTTCAGTTCCTATACTTTATCTATTTAGTTATGCTCTCTTCAGTTCCTAGTGCTAAAATCTAAGAACTTAAAAGAGCAATTTTCTGAGTTGTCACATAGCAAGTGCATCCATCGTTGGAGTTGAAAACATTCCTTTGTTCTGTTTGTGGTACTAGTTTGTATCATTTCATGTGGTTGAAGAATGTACTGTTTGAATTTTATCATAGGGCTCGTCATCAGGTATACGAAGGTGATAAAAAGATATCTACAATCAGGATGAAAATTGTTTGTTGTGGTTGAAGATAATTTTGGGAAGCAAGATCTGTAGCTTTGCCATTGAATAATATGATAAACAACATTTTTCCATGACAAAACCATTTTACTTTATTTGGTTAGATATTATTCTCTCTTTTGGAAGTTTTTGGATTAAGCTTTCATTGAAGTTTCTTGGAAAATTGAATTAGGAAGATAACATATGTCTGATGGTGCTCTTTTGTTTAACATATGACATTGTTTACTGTATCATGCAATTCCATTCCATGGCATAATATTCCCTAGATTATTGATAATTAGTTAGGTCCATGTTTTGCAATTGGTCTTTGTTATGCTATCGACTTGTTGTAGCATGGCTTGACATACAACAGCTTGGCAGAGCTACATTTTTTGTCATTAATGTTGTCTGGTACATTAAGCATGGTAAGATAGCTAGTAGGGTGGCTTCAAATATAGAAAAGGCAGAGGTTTGTGAATATAAGGGAAAACTAAGCTCAGCAAGTATTGATTCATTTAATTGTGATAACGAAGGTGGACCCAGTAAGGGAAGTCAGCATCTTTTGAAATGATATACTCGGTAGCCTTTGGTTGATGTGATTAATACAATACAGACGACTTGTAGAGTGCATATACAATTTTAAGTTTTTACAGCATTATCTATCCATCATGATCACGTCTCAAGATAGTTTGAGCATCTGTCACTTGTAGTGCATGGTAACATAGTTAAACAGAACTGCAGAAGATCACTGAGTAAACATAGTCAAACAGAACTTCCATGAATTATTAACTGAAAAAGTTGCTGAATTTTTGGTGCAGCTGAAAACATAAATGAAGATCCATTGCAAAGTATCAAGCAGGATAATGAGCAAAGCTCTCTGTATAATTTTCTCTATCCCAGTAAAGAGCTTCTTCCAGATGACAAAGAGATGAGCATATTTGATCATTTGGAAGAGCTTCGCCAAAGAATATTTGTCTCAGTTTTGGCTGTGGGAGCTGCTATCTTAGGCTGCTTTGCTTTTTCCAAGGATTTGATTATACTCCTTGAAGCTCCTGTTAGTTCCCAGGGAGTTCGTTTTCTGCAACTGTCTCCTGGAGAATTTTTCTTTACAACTCTTAAGGTAAACTTTCTATCCATGAAACTTCACTTTATATAATTATGGTTATGCATGTTTTCTACTGAAATGAACATTCCTTAGCTAGTCGTGCATCTCTTTCAAAGTTGATTCTACAAATGACCTAGGCAGTATGACCAAGTTAGCTCAGCTTCTTATTCCCTTTAAAAGCCATAGTTTGGTGAAGCTTAGAGCTGTTATTTTCAAAAGCCCATTCTTCTCGGTGATTACAATTGAATCAGCAATCCTAGCTGAAAACTAATCCTTCTGTAGCTTAGCACTTCTCTATGTTTCACCTTTTGCCTCTTGTTTTTTTTATACAACTTCCATTTTTTTTAAAAAATTCTTGTTTGATGCTGGACTGGTTAATGATTGTGCCAACTTCAACTGATGAATCTTGATGTATACAGGTATCTGGTTACTGTGGGCTTCTTCTAGGGAGTCCTGTTATTCTTTATGAAATTATAGCTTTTATTCTTCCTGGTCTAACAAAGGATGAGAGAAAATTCCTGGGCCCCATTGTCCTGGGATCTTCAGTGCTATTTTATGCCGGTATTGTCTTCTCCTATGCAATCCTCACTCCTGCAGCCTTGAATTTCTTTGTTAACTATGCGGAAGGCGCTGTGGAATCATTGTGGTCCATCGATCAATACTTTGAGTTTGTTCTCATTCTTATGTTCAGCACAGGGTTGTCTTTCCAGGTAATGTTGATTGATGCTGTATAGTCTATATTGTCTTTGATGCATGAACTGTTTATGGATTAAAATTGCTTCATCTGAAATCTGCTGAGTCAAATGCCTGACTACATTTAACCCATATTTAACTGTTCATGGAAGAGCAAGAGCATGCCTTTAGTTATGTTCATCTTTTCCTCATATTCTCTCCTGTGACTCTCAGTATACTGTACTCCCAAACTAAATTATTAGGTAAAAAAAAAGGAAACACTTCCAGTTTCACAATCTAAGTTCAACCCAGATGTCCCGTACTTTTCCATTTCTTCTGAAAAGTGATGCATGTGTCAGAAATATCTGGTAACTATGGTTGACTTCCCTGATGTTCTTTTATTTTATCCTTGGATTGCTGAACTGGTTTCCCTTTTGGGTGGGATAAGCATCACTGAACTAGTTTCTCTCACTGAATCAGCTCCGTAGCCTAAATGTAAAAATGTCATTTTTTTGCTTTATCATTAATTGTATACGGGCTTCATTCTTCTCAGCAGCCTAAATATTACTTTGATTTTTGAACATTGTTCATCATATATGAGCTTGGTACTCTCATGAGGATCATCTGAATAAGCACTCTTTGTGCTGAAGTATCATCATGAGTTTGTCTCGGAAAAGAAAGATTGTGACAGCTTCCATTCACATCCTCTAACAACCTTGTGTTTTCAGGTTCCAGTTATACAGCTTTTACTAGGACAGGTTGGCTTGGTGTCCGGGGACCAGATGTTATCTATCTGGAGATATGTTGTGGTCGGTGCTGTTGTTGCGGCTGCTGTGCTTACACCCTCAACTGATCCCTTGACACAGATACTCTTGGCAGGTCCTCTGTTGGGTCTCTATTTAGGCGGCGCGTGGATGGTCAAATTAATAGGTCGCTAGTTCGATCATCTTGTGCATGATTTTCCCTCACATAATGAATTATGAACCATATGTGAATCGAAGCGCATGGATGGTCAAATTAATAGGTCACTAGTTCGATCATCTTGTGCATGATTTCCCTTCACAAAATGAATTATGAACCATATGTGAATCAAAACATGAGGTACGTCTTCTCTGCCTCCAATGCTACCTGTTCAGTGTCTATTAACTGTTCCATATTTGTTCAGATAAAAGTTGGACAATAGTCTATTCTGATCCTGCAAAACTATCAAGGATTTCAAAGACTAATATGCAAAGTATGCCTCTGTTGTCTCTTCTCAGATAGCATAATCTTTCACAAGAGTTTCCAAAGACTTCTTCATCTCAAACACTCCAGTGAATTAGTGCAACAAGTAGTGTTCTTCAGGAAGGCCAGTTCCTGATGGTGTGCAGTTCATCAGAAATATGCCACTTGACATCAAGTCAATTTCAAATTGGAATTGAGCTTAAACCTGATTTAAGAATTTATTGTTACATGTGTACATATTATTTCTTTTATTAGATATATATATATATCTCCAATTTCTCATATTCTGGAACTGATTTAATTCACTTGTCAATGCTTGTGAGATACTTGATGGTTGCCAAAATATACATTAATGTTTCTTATAATCATCAAGAGAGAGATGATCATTTTGATTTGTTTGCTGTTGACGGTTTCTTATAATTGTCACCATCAAATGCTCCAAATTTTAGTAGAAAAAGAGGAATTACTTGAGAGAAGATAAAATGTTTCATTTAGGAATTGTTTTATGCATCTATCTTGATTGCGACAGAATAATATTATTACATATGCAGGACGTGAATTCTAATATTAAATCTACTTCATAAAGAAATTGTTTTTCTAAGCATTGTGGTGTTCGATCATCCATGAAAAGGCAAAAAAAGAAAAGAATAGAAAAATTAATAGAAAAAGAGGATTGGGGGAGAAAGAAAGAGTATAGTAATCATTAGAATAATAAAAAAAGAAATTAGGTATTTAAAAGTTTTCTTTTTTCTAAAACTTAAATTAGCTGTTGCAAGGATAGGCGATTGGGGGACCCACAGAAACGATCTTCATTTGGGGCCCACTCAATCGGTTCCTTCTGCATAAGTTAGGGCCCAAAAGTCCACAAGAGGCCCGATTCGATCGGACTCCAAACACACCCTTAATTCCACTTCGGACACGCTTCACGTCCACGCTGTTTCTCCGAGCCCAACTTTTTAGCCCTAAAAATGGGGAAAAGAAAGACGTGAGAGCCGCCTCCCTCTCTCGCTCTCTAGTCGCCTCCTCTCCCGTTTGCCACCATGGCCTCACGCCGCCTCCTGTCCTCCCTGCTCCGCTCCTCCGCCCGCCGCTCACCAGCCCCCAGGTCCTCAGCCGCCGCCTGCCCCACCCCTAGGGCCGCCCCGCGCCCCTCCCCCGCTGGCTACCTCCTCTCCCGCGCTGTCGAATACGCCACCTCCGCGGCGGCCCCGCAGCCTACTCCTCCCCCGGCCAAGACCCCTCCTGGCCCCAGCGGCAAGATCACGGACGAGTTCACTGGCGCCGGTGCGATCGGGAAGGTCTGTCAGGTGATCGGGGCGGTCGTCGATGTGAGGTTCAACGAGGGCCTGCCGCCGATCCTGACGGCGCTGGAGGTCCTCGATAACCAGATCCGGCTGGTCCTTGAGGTCGCGCAGCATTTAGGCGAGAACATGGTGCGGACCATCGCCATGGACGGCACCGAGGGGCTTGTCCGCGGTCAGAGGGTTCTCAACACCGGATCTCCCATCACCGTATGCCCTCTCCGCTATTGCTTGTCTTTTTGCTTGAAACGTCCTCTTAGCCAACAATGCCTTATGAAAGTATCTTTCAGTTCTGTTCGATGCTTGTTGATGATGGTAATGTTTCGAAAAGTGCTATGCTTCTTATACGGAGATGAATTGTAGGAAATGATGTATGTTTATGACGTCGTCCTTTTCTTGTTAAGATGTTACACTGTCTCTCACTGTGTCCATCTTCTTTAGTTCTATTATTTGCACTATTTTCTTTTTACGTAACTATGAATCTGGATTTCTCCTTCAATGGTCACATTTGGAATATAGTATCCTGAAAAAATATTTCTTTTATTTTTTTCCTTTTTCGTTATACTTGGTGCAGATGTATATACGTGTATATATATACAGAGAGGAAACGACTATTTGTTGTTAGGTGGTTTGTCCCAAAGATGTTACCCTGGCTGACAGTCTATTCCTTCAAATTTGGTTGTAGAATCAGTACCGATAACATAATGATTGTTATTTGACAAATATGTAATCTTGATTAGTCTGATGTCATTATTGACTTACTCTTCTTGTGTTTGGTTGAAACGTTAGGTTCCTGTTGGCAGGGCGACTCTTGGTCGCATCATGAATGTTATTGGAGAACCAATTGATGAGAAGGGTGAAATAAGTAAGATTGCTCAGTTTGCTATAGTTGATTACATTCTGAATCTATAATGTTTTCAAATTCTATTGGAGTGTGATGCTTAATTATTTCTTCTGTTAATAGATACCAACCACTTCCTTCCCATCCATCGTGAAGCACCAGCTTTTGTTGAACAGGCAACAGAACAGCAGATTCTTGTTACTGGAATTAAGGTGATTCGTTGCCTTTCTTTTCAATCCAATTCTAATTTTTGGTGCAGACAGTGGATTCCAATATATGTTCTTCTGAAAACACCAGGTCGTAGATCTCCTGGCACCTTATCAGAGGGGTGGAAAGATCGGGCTGTTTGGTGGTGCTGGTGTGGGGAAGACTGTACTTATCATGGAACTGATCAATAATGTTGCAAAGGCTCATGGTTAGATCTATTGAAAACTCATTGATTTAACTATGTACTTTTTTTAAAATTAAATTGTTAATTTTTATCTGTAGGTGGTTTTTCTGTCTTTGCTGGTGTGGGTGAGCGAACTCGTGAGGGTAATGACTTATACAGGGAAATGATTGAGAGTGGTGTCATCAAGCTTGGGGACAAACAGGTCCATGCTTGAAATTTTTTTTTGTTTTCTGATGTAAATATTATCTTTAGTTATTTTTGCCATTCCTCAAACATGTGGTTGTGAATTAATGGCTTTCTACCTCAGGATGAGAGCAAATGTGCTCTTGTTTATGGCCAAATGAATGAGCCCCCTGGTGCTCGTGCACGTGTTGGCTTGACCGGGCTGACAGTTGCTGAGCACTTCCGAGATGCTGAAGGACAAGATGTGCTTCTATTTATTGACAACATTTTCCGGTTCACTCAAGTAAGTTTGTCAGAACATGAATGAAATGCTTTATTTGGTTGTAGGAGAACTGTTTATTAGCTGAGTCGTTTTTCATGTATCTTTAATTACTTAGGCAAACTCAGAAGTGTCTGCGTTACTTGGTCGTATTCCATCTGCTGTCGGTTATCAACCAACTCTTGCTACTGATCTTGGAGGACTGCAAGAGCGTATCACAACAACAAAGAAAGGTTCCATCACCTCAGTGCAAGCTATTTATGTGCCTGCTGATGACTTGACAGATCCTGCTCCAGCAACCACCTTTGCCCATCTTGATGCTACAACTGTGTTGTCACGACAGGTTTGTCCATATAGTTGTCTCCTATACTTTGAGGGAGTTTACATTTTTCAGAAACCAAATGTTATTGTCCTGACATCTCTGTTTCTAATTAGATTTCTGAGCTTGGTATCTACCCTGCTGTTGACCCTCTTGATTCTACATCAAGGATGCTTTCACCACATGTGTTAGGGGAGGAACACTACAACACTGCTCGTGGTGTTCAAAAGGTTCTTCAAAACTACAAGAATCTCCAAGATATTATTGCAATTCTTGGAATGGATGAGCTCAGCGAAGATGATAAGTTGACTGTAGCTCGTGCTCGAAAGATCCAGCGGTTCCTGAGCCAGCCTTTCCATGTTGCTGAAGTGTTCACTGGTGCACCTGGAAAATATGTGGAATTGAAAGAGAGTGTGAACAGCTTTCAGGTCAGGCATATCTTTCTCTTGAAAACATTGGACACATGATCTGATCTTATTTTGTGAAAATTATGTGTTAGGATACTTGATATAAAAGATGATATAATGGCTAACAGTCTTAAACTTATGAACATAAAGTGATTTCTAGTTATTTTTAATGTGAATTTTCTGTTGGGAAAAAAATAAGAATTGGTGAAAAGATATAAGTTCATAAGTGGTGGCTATCTTGTTCAATTTTGGCTGATCTTAGTCATATGATAACTACTGATTTGGGCAAATAGTAACAGCAGCAGGAGGACGCCGCTGTCCACATCAGCCCTGTGCGTATACCTTGAACACCACTTGCTGCCCATGTCTATTGTTGCGTAGTAGTCACTTGAGTCCCGTGAAATTCCCTACGGACATATTTTAGACCACAGCTTATTATATCACTGTTCAATAAAGATGAGAGACATGCGAAGAAAGAGAGAAAAAGAGAATTAAACAGACATTTTCCAAACTATCAAAACACTTTTTAGTTTAAAAAAGGGTACACATACAAATTAACATAATATATTCATCGCATGTACACATACAAATTAGAATTATTGCATGCAGTTTTTTATTTCTGTTGTTGATGTTTGATCATATTATAAATGGCAGGGTGTTTTGGATGGAAAATATGATGATTTACCCGAGCAGTCATTTTACATGGTTGGAGGCATTGAGGAAGTCATAGCCAAGGCTGAGAAGATCGCCAAGGAGTCTGCTGCATGATCGAAATTTATGTCCTGTAATAATAATGTGTGGGATGCAGCTGTTTGGTGCCTGCATCCAAGAAAAGATTCATTTTTGAAGTCAGCAGTTTATCTGTTTATGATCTGTGATTTTTCTGATAGAAGTGCGTGTATGCTCTAGGGATCTCTTCGGCCCAATAAGTAAACCTGGAGAGCTGTTTCTTTCTTGCATCAAGATACATGCATCTGAAGCTGTAACCAAACTGTGTTTCGGGTTGATCAAATCTCTTTATAATGCCCCTTGTCTGCTGGCTTAAATTTGTTTCTTTACCAGTTTCTTTTTACATGGATGGTTTCACAATAAATAAATAAATAAATAAATAAAACTAGTCCTTCAGAATGCATGGAAGATAGGCATAGTAGCACACTATATGGATCACAGGAAATACCATGTTACCATATAAAGGACCAAAGCTTTTCTTTCTTGGAACCCATCTAGCTTTGTGAAGCATGTGGTACATTTTATATGCCTGTTTAATTCATCAAAAAGATGGGGAATAGAAACACATTATCCTATTTTTCAATCATGCGAATGTTTGTGTTTTTAGCATCTTGAAGAAGCTAAACTTTCTGTTTGTTGCCAGTATTAAACTGCCCTTCTAAAGATACATGTCTAACCAATAATATTTTCATTTATTGTATCGTAAAGCCTTTTCCTAAGGGAACAAAACAAGCATCACATCAACATGGCAACATCACAAAGCAAAAAGAAGTTGGGAACTTGAAGCAATGAATAAAACAAAGCTTAAGTTGAAGGATAAGTAATCTTGATTCCTTAACCCTAACAAGGGGATAGGATACCTCAAATACACACACACAAAGAAAACCTCAATAAAAAAAATAAAATTATGTGCATAATAACCCTCCAAAAAAAAAGTGAATTTTGTATGTCCTTTTAAACTTTCTTACATGTCATCATCATGGTTACTCTCAGTTATCTCAAAGCAAACTAAATATCCTTTAAATTATATTATAATTATAAGAATAAAAGGATATCTGACTTATATTAGTTATAGTTGATCCTGAGTTTTTGGATCAATGATAATGAAAGGAATACACATGAAGGATTTTAGTAATTGGACGTCCCTCTTGGAGGGCTATCTATATATACACATACAAGGCAAATATTTTATTTCCAAGCTTTGCAAGGATATAGGGTGTAAACACATCACCATGTACACTAGTATTAATCTGGACAATACCTATTCAAGTTGAGTTGTCGAGGCCCATTAACCCCATAATTATGGGCCTTTAGAATGAGTCTTACTCCCACTCGAGCAACGACGCCGACATCGCCTCACGAAACCAAAGGCGAGGGTGAAATCGTAATAAGAACAAACATTCAGGGCTGATAACAAACGTAAGGGTGCCCTAATCCTTCTCCTCGAAGGGCTTCCCCTTGTCTATAAATACATCCGCCTATCCTCCGACCCTTTGATTCCTCTCCCACCGTTAAGAGCTGTCGTTTCTGCCGCTGATCCCATCGAAGGTGAGAGGCGATCGTTCTTGGTATTCATCTTCTGTTTCGCTTAATTTTCTTCCGCTTTGGTCTTGATCTTCCACCTGTAGTTGTAATTTTTTTGGTTCGACCGGATCCAGATCTCCTTCGCTCTTTTGATTGCGATTCTATTTTGTTTCCTTTTTTTCGTGGTTTGGATGGAATTGGATCGACGGATGGGTTGTTTTTAGACTGATCGACCGTGTCGATGATCGCGATCATCGTTTTCATGAGATTCCTGAAGCTTGATTTTGATTCTGTTGCGATCGTGGCGTTTTTGGCCTAGTTCACTAGAAATAGATAGATTTAACGGAGATCTCGATTTATTGATGGATTATGTTTTATTTTCTTGATGGTTGTTATAATATTTTAAAACTAATATATGATTGGATTGTCGTATTGCCTTTTCGTTTTATTGTCAGGACCCATGTGATGCGTTATAATGGAATTTATGATTCGAGATTGTAGATCTCTTTGATTTGAGGAGCGATTGCTTGTGTTTTAATACGTTTGGTATGATGTATCACATCTGTATCTATGTGTTATTTTGTCTGGTTCAATAGGTGCTCGGGAAAGGAGAGTGGTGCCTCTCTCTCTCTCTCTCTGTGTCCGATAGCTGCTGGATTCTCTCTCTCTCTCTCTCTCTCTCTCTCTCTCTCTCTCTCTAATAGCTGCTGGATTCATTGGTTTAGTTTCAATAGCTAAACTAGATATAATCAATATATTTTGGTTTAATTTCATCTATACACCTTTTTTTTTCTTGTTCATAATCATTTCAATATCTGTGTTATTTGCCTGGTTCAATAGGTGCTCGGGAAAGGAGAGTGATTTCTCCAACTCACCCTCTCTCTCTCTCTCTCTCTCTCTCTCTCTCTCTCTCTTTGATAGCTGCTGGATTCATTGGTTTAGTTTCAATAGCTAAGCTCGATATAATCCATATATTTTGGTTTAATTTCATCTAGAAACGTTTTTTTTCTTGTTCATAATCATTTCAATAGCTAAACTCGATAATCTTGTATGTGTTTTGGATGCATAATTTGTTTTTTATAATCACACGTTATTATGTATTGTTCTGCAATAAATATTTCATTGGAAAAGGAAATGTAAATACATCCAATTTTGACTTATTTGAGTTAATCCTCTTGTTTCGAAGTGTCTATGTTTGTTTTTATGGAAGAATGTCTACCTGAACCTTGAATGTAATTTATATAATCAATATTTTATATTATTTGTATTTTTAACAATGCTAGTCACAGCTTTAGAAAAGTGCTTTTAAAAGATGCTGCAGACAGATGTACTAATTTCTATCTACATCTATGGTTGTTTGTAAGCAAAAACTTTTATGTTCGGTCCTCAAATATTGAGGTTTTTGTTAGTGTGAATGTCTTGAGCACAATGAATCCAATGTAAGTTGCTCGGTCTGTTTGTGGTGGGTGACCAATGATTATCATGAGCTAATGCTAGAGAGATGTTGTAAGTATACATCCAATTTAAATACAATAGCTTGGAGGTTTTTTGACCTAAAATATTGAAGCTCAAAGATGCAGAGCAGTTACCTGTAGTAGGGTTTTAGAAGGGTGAACAGTATATGGTGTTTTACTTGGATAAACTGGTTCACATGGTTTGCTGACTGTATGCTATCATTATATGATCTGAATTTATTAAATAAGTCTTTCTATCTTAAACTTAAGCCCATCTAGAACATTCCTATATTTATGCCTACCCTGTACCATCATGCACTGTGTCAGTTTTGTATAGTTTGTCTGGTGGGTGTTTTATGCTATCATGTGTGTGTGCCCCATTACCTATAAAGTATAAGAAGATTAACAAACAACAATTTGTATATTAGGTAGATGTTGTTATGTTTGATTCTTTCTTTATATAACAGTTACAGTGGACCACGGGAAGCTATTTATGCGCACCTAGAAATTGTCAGAAAATTATATTACTCTCAAGATGCAAATATTATTGTACCTTTGCAAATCCTTAAGGTCCCTAATGTAGATCCATAAGGTCCACTATTATATATCATTCACATATAAATCAGTCATAATTGGTCCTTGTGTTATGATTCACTAGGGCTGATTTATTATTGCAAACTGACCTTTAAAATTGGGGTCATAAATGATTGTGAGGTATAATGGATATTTGCATTTTCTTTAGGAGTAACTAAGATGTACAGGATGTATTGGCACTTGTGCCGCATGCATTCATCTGTTCTGTATGGATCTGAATATCTGATGTGGCAAACCGTGCTTGTTTTGTTGGATTTTAACACTTCATGTATTCTTTATAATGATTCCACGAACAGAAAATGTTATGTAAGAATTCAAATGCCAGTTGCCCATCAAATAATCATAATATTTATACATCTTGGATAGATATATTTGTTGATGATTAAATTTATAAAATGCTTGGTGGATGATCCATGTAGCTATGTCCCAATTATATTGTTAATACAATGTTTATGGGTTCTTTATCTGCTAAGAAAAACACAAGTCATGCTTGAATGCATCTGAACTTTGAGGAAACAAATTTTGGTTTTATGGGCTGGTACGGACCAGTATTTAGTGGTCCGACTGAGAAGTTAATTAAGGACCATCGAGGTCATTACTGTGTGCTATTTATTTCTTGACTCTTCTTTTCTGAAAGTACCACCTAGCTATGTTAATAAGATTTTACTTATGGGTTTCTTGTGCTGAGAAGATAGCACTAGTGATGTTTCAATACTTAGTGCACTTAAGGCCATATTTTGGTTAAATTGTTCTGTACACACCAGTATTTACAGATCCACAGAGAGTCGGTATGGTTGTATATCGACACCAAATTGATTTGAAGGTTGTATAAACCGTGAGGTTTCATCCTTGATCCACCTAATGTTCATGATCCATGCAAGCAAGATACTACTGTTAAACATCATGCTTCCTCAAGATCAAGGTTATTTGAAAATTGTAGTGTTGTTGGTTCCATATTATGGATTTGGATCCTCTTTTTTGCTTATAGCTTGGTGAACCATAGCTGTGTGGTACATGTCTTCTGCCAAATCTGTTCCAAGTGTTTTGTTTGCATTGTTCTTCAATAATACCTGGTTAATTGTCATTTAGGAATTGAAAAATATTAACATGTTGCCAAATTGCAGGACGAGAACATTGAAGTTTCTTTTATGTCTGAGCAAGTCCGTCTCTATTTGGGATCAATCGGATTGCTTGGAGAATATTCTCCGACCACAAGAAATAGGGAGAGGCTCTCTTGGGGGAGTTTTAGCTGCATGCATTACAGGCCACATCAGCATCTGACACCAACTCTGGGTTGCTACTTTAAGCAACCTCTTTTAATCGCCGAGGATCAGTTCATTGTTTCCATAGGAAAGGATAACACTGTTGCTTCTTGTCCTTGTTGTCTTTGATAAGTGTTAACGTCTGTTATACCAAAGAATCAGTTGACAAAGATGGCTTTGCAGAACATTGGTGCCTCAAACAGTGATGATGCCTTTTATAGGTACAAGATGCCTAAGATGATAACCAAAATTGAAGGCCGTGGCAATGGCATCAAGACTAACATTGTGAACATGGTTGATATTGCTAAAGCACTGGCTAGACCTGCTTCTTATACGACGAAATATTTTGGATGTGAGTTGGGGGCACAATCTAAATTCGATGAGAAGACAGGTGTGTCCTTGGTCAATGGGGCTCATGATACTGCCAAGCTAGCCGGACTGCTTGAGAATTTCATCAAGAAGTATGTACAATGTTATGGGTGTGGCAATCCTGAGACAGAGATCATCATCACAAAGACCCAGATGCTAACACTTAAATGTGCAGCCTGTGGTTATGTGTCTGATGTTGATATGAGGGACAAGCTGACGACCTTCATCCTGAAGAACCCTCCTGAGCAGAAGAAAGGAGCAAAGGACAAGAAGGCAATGAGAAGGGCAGAGAAGGAGAGGCTGAAGGAAGGGGAAGCAGCTGATGAGGAGCAGAAGAAGCTGAAGAAGGAAACAAAGAAGAAAGGAGCCACCTCTACCAAGGATGGAGCCTCAAAGGCTACCACTACTGCTGCAAAGAAGAAAGCTGGTGGTGGCTCTGATGAGGAGCGTTCAACTTCTCCTGTCGGCAGTCAGAATGGTGATGCTAATGCTGATAATGGTGATGACGATGTCCAGTGGCAGACAGATACTTCATTGGAGGCGGCTCAACAGCGTATCCAGGAACAGCTGAGTTCTGTGACTGCTGAGATGGTAATGCTCTCGACCAATGAGCCTGACCAGGAGAAGAAATCAGAAAAGGCAAACAAAGAACTCACCAATGGCAGTGCAAAACAAGTGGATAAAAATGGTGCAGGCCAAAATGGTTCTCCGGCCAACAGTTACAACAAGTTGCTTGTAGAAATTAAAAGCAACCTGAGCAAGCGGTCTAACCCCACCCAGCTTCAGACTTGTTTGGGTTCTCTCACTGGGTCTCCCCAGGAGGTTATGACTGCCCTCTTCGAAGCCCTCTTTGAGGGGGTGGGTAAAGGCTTTTCCAAGGAGGTTGGGAAGAAAAAGAATTTTCTTGCTGCTGCTGTGAAAGGTGAAGACTCGCAGATGCTTCTTCTCCACGCCGTGGAAGCCTTTTGTGCTAAGTGCAGTCCGGATGCTGTTAAGGAAGTCGCTCTTGTTCTGAAGGTACTTTATGACGGGGATCTTATGGAGGAAGAGACCATAATCAAGTGGTATGAGAAAGGTAGTGTAGGTGGCAAGAGCTCTCAAGTATTCAAAAATGTGAAGCCCTTCGTCGAGTGGCTTCAGAGTGCCGAGTCTGAATCCGAGGAAGAGTGATGCTGTGTGTTTCTCGTTTGTGTTTTGCAGTGTCGCAGCTCATAATAAGCTTGCAGGAGTCTGAATTCTCAGTTCTGTGTGGTTTGTCTACGTATCCTGGTCTGTTCTCGTCAGTGTCAGTGTCAGTGTCTATGTGATGGTCATTCGTCCGTGTGAACCTTGTTGATCTAAACTCGGGTAACATTTGGTCCATATATTTCGGTGGTTGCCTAATTAATTGGTGATGTTCTTGTTTTGCTGGGTTGTTTTATTGCAATCATCTTTTAGTTGTTCCTGTCAAACCAGCAATCATCTCTAAGGTGTTTTGCTGGAATTGTCTTCATCTGTTGGAAAGCGTGAAGCGGTGCTTCTTGTCAGCTTTCTTTTTATCTAAACTGCAGATTTCACTCCTGACGCAAAACGCTTGGTATTCTCTTTGCCTACCATATGATTTGACTGCAGGTTACATACTGATTAATTGCCTTGTATACTGCTTCATGTCATTATTTGCGAAGGCAAACGAATCATGATTAATTATTTAATTTGTAAGGAAAACATTCTGAAACAGATTTCCACATCATTCGAATTAAATCTACAAGTAAATGATTCGACATGCATTCATCTTTAACTTTCCAGTGATTACTCACCATCATAGCAACCAAACGCTGAATCTTTGATCTATGTGGTTGTCAAAAACACATGTAAAGGGGCCACGATATAAAGAACTTGACCCATATAAACGATCATCTTCATCTAGAGCAAATACCCTCCTCGGTGATGGTCTCCAGCGTTGGCCTTCTTGACCTGCACATACTCAACCTGTATTTAAACTCCCCAATCTCCACCGCCGCGGGTTCCGACGCTTCGGTCATGCTCTCCAAGTCCGGCTTCGGGACCGACCGCTCTGCCATCTCCGGCAAGACCCTCGCGCCGTGGCCCAACTCCCGCCGGACCTCCTTCTGCGCCGCCATCAGCAGCACCGCCATGTCGGCCGCCGCGACCACCGCGTTCGCCCTCTTCATGGGGAACATGGCGTAGACGTGGCCCATCTCCAAGTCCTCGTCCGCCGCGAGCGGCGCGAACCGCCGGCCGACGTGCATGGACCGCGAGTCAACCAGGAAGTGCCCCGGCTCGTCAAGCATGATCTCGGCCGCGTTGATCGGCGCCTCGATGCGCCGGACCCTGCCGTCGGGTAGGATCACCTTGGTGGATCTTGCGCGAATGCCCGGCGCGCCAGCGAGGGTGCAGGAGACGTAATTGCCCATGGAAGATGCACAAGGAAGAGCAAGGGGTCGGATTCAGCTGCTGTCGACGCAGTCTTAGATCGAAAAATAAGCCACCTCTCGATGGAGAGAAAGAGGGACGAACGCCAGACTCGGCGTTTATAGTCTTACAGAGATAAAGATCGAGGAAGATTCCAGGCGAGCAGGCGACACAACGAGTTGCGTGGCCATCTGTATACGCGTCAAACAGTGCACACAGAGAGATAGAATGAGACAGGTACAGAGGTTCACATCGGAGTTCCGTCGTTGCGTGTGGGGCCCGCGGCTGCGGTTCTTGTTTGGTGGGCGGTGAGTTTTAAAGGATTTCGCCGGGAAGTAAATTCGAGTCGCAAGAATCTTTCCAACCTCTCCTCTCTTATAATAAGATTTTGTTTATATATATATATATATATGGAAATATATTTTTTTGATGCTTTGATTGAATTTTGTGATTTCTTTCCAAACTGGTATGAAATTAGTATCGGTAGCTATCGCTGCAGCTGAGTAGTCATAATCGACTACGTGATAGTATAAAGCCTCGATGACTTGATGGGCGCTCGTGCTGTATTTGGAGGACAAAAGTGGGTGGTAGAGAAACCACGAAGACCGTTGGCGGTGGGAAAACACGGCAGGGAAGAGCAACCGCACCGGAAGATGCAGCGGAGCGGAGTCAACCAGTGAAGCGCATCAGCTTATTTGTGAAAAGTCAGCGGGTGTACTTGTACCTGCGTTGACCAGGAATCACATTATTATTATTACTATTCCTTCTTCTCATTTTTTTTTTGTCTCGCAAGAAAATACGAGTTTTTATATAAAAACAATATTTTGTTTCCAACCAAAAATCTCGCTTTTAAGTCACGAGGCTATTTAGTCATTTTGTAAAAGGTCAACCTAAGTACAAATGTCTCAAACGACATATAGAATAGAAATTTGATTAGTTACGAAGGTGAAGGATAGATAAATCCTAACAAAAACCTAATAATCATACCACTTAACAAAACGTGAATTTGAACGATAAAAAAAAAATTCGATAATGACATATTGGGAAAAAATATTATAGCGAAATAATTTTTTATTTTTTATATCAAAATTGGTTCTTCATTAAAATATCAATTTATTATCAAAAGTAAATATTAATCAAGCAGCATAAACAGTAAAACAATAAATCAGTCACAAAGTGAGACACTGAACATGAAAACTCAATACGAGAAAAACCACGAGACCGTAATCTACTTCAAACTTCCACTATCACTAATAATGACAACATGTTTACAATAAATCTTCTCCAGAATAACTAGAGGATTACGATAACATCAAGAACATATATCTCATTTAACATTAACATATCATCGTCACCAAAAATAGATTTCATGAAAATAAAATTTTAGATCTCATAAAGTAAATATAGCATAAAAGTACTTTAGAGAGGATAAATTGTTGATCGGTACCATTAAGAATGTAGAGCTTATTACACGAATTCTTCATATAAAATTTGAATCAAAACCAACAAAGTTTAGCTGCTCGATCATCTGGCAAAAACGCTAGAATCTTAACTTTTATTTTTTTTTCCTTTTCCTTACATATCTCAATCATTTTTTTTTATTTTTTAATAAATCAGATTTGAGCTCAATTCAACCCAACCCAATCGTATAACTAGGTGTTGGATTACATGATTTGCGTACAAGGTCGAAAGTTCCGAGCTAATCATCGCACGCTACAAGGATTTTACTTATTACATCAAAATCAAAGTCAAAGTCAAAGCCAATGCACGGATTATAGGTGTGCTGGTCAACCTGACCAATGAATGATTTGGAAGATTCAAACTTCTCCCTCTTCATCACAATTGTAGAGAGAGTCGTGTTTCCATTAAATAGGGAGGATGCTGATCGCTGGAGTCAGTTCAAAGTCCAAACTTTGACCAATACATGGATAGACTGTTTCATTCGATGCTAAGGGTGAATTATACTCTGACTCAAGTCTCAGGACATGAAACATTTCGGTGAAAGACTCGTTCCAGTCAGTGTTTCAGACAAAGCTGCATGAGTTTTTATTAATGCCTTGAAAAGATCAACTGTCACAAAATGACATTTTGACACTCCAAAATTGATGAAGAGTTGGATTCTCTCAACTATCATTTATGATGCATATCTTGCAAAATATTCATATTTTTTTTGCAAATAATTTCTGTGCCCATATATTTTGGTGCAACATTTTGCTAGGATTCACTGTTTCAGTAGTTCTCTCTATCTTGTACAAGAGTTTGCAATCTTAGCAAGCATATCAAAACCATATCTGCCATTTTATTGCCAGTTTCTACCAATTAATGTAGGTTGGATCAGTCAAAAATGAAAGTAACTGTTGACTTGATCATGTCTAATAAACTGAAAGGACAGGAAAAGCAGAAGTGAGATCTATGAATCATTCATAAATTACTATTTCAAATAATAGAATCATTCTACTTGGTCTTTTATATTCCAGAAGCATGTCAACACAGACTATTAAAAAATATATATTAAATGTTGCCAGTGTCAGATGTGAAATTGCTGTGGAGACAGCAGTGAGAAATGAGGGGAGTTGATGGATGCCTGCAGCAAGAAGATACTGGCGACAATGACCTGCACTCATGAAGGGCACCTTCTATTACCTTTCATCATATCTGGCTCACAAGTCAAAAGCTCTTTCTTATCCACACACCATTTTCTTTTTATTTTTAACCTGTGCCAAAGTTCTTGCAACTCATGATCTTTCCTTTCATGTGAAGACACTTGAAAACCTACTAACCATAATGGTTGCCAGTTGCAGAAATGATTTGAAGCAAAGGTCAGAGTAAAATGTCAATTGCAGTTGAGATGATAGCTGGGAAAATTGTCCATAACATTTCAACAAGCAAACAATTTTCTAGCTTATTCACAGTTATTTTCTGATACCAAACTTGTTATAAAACTCTGTATCTTATGAACTTAATGCATGTACAAGAACATAATTCATGATATAACTGCACTTCATCTTCATGGACTTGAAGAGAGTGGCACCTTCATGTTGGTAAGAAAGACTGCCTAAGATACTAATATACATTTACTGATGCCTTTGCTACTTGGATTGTATAGCTCATGGAACCTATTTGAAGGTTCAACAATAAATTTGCCAGCTCCAGGACTTGAGAAAGCGGTTCCCACTTCTCCTGTTCTTTCGGTGTTTTTGTTCTTGAGTTTGGTAGTCAGCAAAATCAACATAATTTTGCATCACCAGACGTAACAATACCATCACTGAATTTATATGAGAAGAGGCACTCAGCTAATGGATGCGGATGAGATGTGACTGAGGCTGAATCAGTTGCAATGGGTGCGAATGCCCATTCTCTCTTTCTGATGCTGAAATAGAAGATTCATGCATTTCCTGCAATTCTAAAAAACATTAGTTCGCATCAAAGGAAACAATTAGTTGTTTAACTTGTCTCAAAAAAGGTAGTGACGACGAAAACCAAGAATTACCTGCAGTTGCCGCCGTCGATAAAACGTGGTCACTGCTCTCAACATAACATAGAGAGGTAGGATGATACCAGCAATCCTCAACATCAACAGCTAATTTTTTTTTGATGAAGTGTAAGTCAATATCCTGAGAAATAAAAGAAAAGCTTTCATATATTATAAGCTTTGGTGAAGTCTTACTGTGAAAAGTGGGATCGAGTACTGCTCAGCTCCACTCATAATAAAAGGGAGAGAATGACGCAGAACCAAAATAACCATGAACTGCAAACAAAAGATTTAATTTTAGACTTCGATATATGAAGTTACCGATTAGGATTCAATAATGGTAAAGCTAAGCAACTCACTGTAGCAGCCACCAAGCGACAATACATAATACTCTTTTCATGTGAAGCTGAATATTCATCATAGCTGGATCTCAGAAAAACATGGCCAGTTTGAGTCATTGTTACATATTGTTGATTGTAGAAATCGCGCCTTGAGATTTCCCAGTTTCCCCTATAAGATGGGCCGTATAACCATCGTATAAGATGATTTGGAACTGGAAAAAAAAAATGACCACTTGATATGAAAAGGAGCAGAATTAGTACCTGAAATTCATAGGACTAGTCCCATAGAGGAACAACTTAGGAGGGGCAGTATATCCCGGCTTAAATTGCTGGAACCATGTAAGAAGTAATGAGAGTTTTAGGCAATGCCCTGACGATGGAACATCTATAATATAAAGACATATATAAGCAGGTAACATATAAAGAGAACTTATAAGAAGTACCTGAAGGCATATCTCACATGTGGTGTCACCCTTTTCATTACACCACTTCTGTATACACTTGCGATGAGCATACTACAGGAGTTAAAAGATCTGATCAGAAGAAAATAATCTACTGAATACTAAATGCAGCAATATGGGCTCAACCAGAAAAAAGAACCACAGAAACGACATGAGTATGAGGGTGATGGAAGTAATGATCATTACTTCACAGTCATAGTTCACCGAAAAAACAAGTAATGGGGACAGAGTTGTCATTGGTGATTTCGTTTAACCCAGACCAATCAATTGAAGAGCAATGTAATAATATATGGCTTTCTATATGAGGCAGTGGCAGCTGAAAATGAGAAAAACTGAAATGGTTTAGCTCCAAGCTATCCCAACGAACATACGTCATACATGCTGTGCAACAACAACACAACAACAACAAGTCATCCCTAATATCTAAAAATTATATGAATCTTTGTCCCGCAGTTTAGTTTTGTACAAGAAAATATATCTGTACTTGAATCAAGAATATTCAAATATCACTTAATCATAAAGAAGACAACAGGAAAGTTAAATCCTTCCTTTGGAGGACAAATAAATATAATTTATTCTACAGAAGCCCGTTATCCCCTTTTAATGAGCTATATCATTCTTAAAGTCAACAGATAAAATGTAGGATCCTTGCATGCACCACATATTTACCATAGAACAAAATTTATATAATTCCAACACTTGGAAGAAAAAAGGTTGAATAAGAAAGATATGGGTAAATCTAGTCCATATCATCACATTAAAGAAGCCAGACCCAAAAGGGTAGATCTCAACATATCTTCTAAACAAATGCTTCCCATTATGGAAGGTAGAAACAAGAGGTTACGATAATATGGTTCCTACATGGCCAGTTTTCTCTCGGTTTCATGCGAGGAAGCCTACTTCAGTACTCACAGCTCGCCATCCATTATGCGAACAAGAATCAGAATTGGGTAACTCAACATCAGCCTGAAAGTTAATGGCTACAAGTTGCAACATCAATGACCAAATACCAAATGACCATGACACATTAACAAAGCTAGTTTCCATAGTTTAAAACCAGCTTTATGTTGGATGTTTGATCAACTATATAAAACACGGCTAATACTTCTTGTTGCTTGTATCATATGATGAAGTGTTACGCTGATTATATGCATGGAATCTCTGACACAATAAATGTCTTCACGTCTAATAAAAACAGAAACAAAAGAACAAATTCTAGCCAAATGAACCAATTAGCTCGCAATATCCAACAAAGTGTTCTCTTTTATAAGAACATAAGAAAAACAAAGGCACTCCTTTACCTTCAAGCTTCCGCAGCACGAACATGGGATCTCCATGTTGACATCCTCATCCTCATCCTGGCAGATGCGGCATTCAACCAGTTTACCAGTGAACATCCCATCCCCAACAATTTTCCTTTCTGGAGCAAAGTCAGCTATGTCCACCGTTGACAATGAAGCAACTGGTGTGTTTGACCCCTGAGTTACACTTCCAATGGCAGCTTCCAGCGTTGACTCCGTGAGCAAACGGTCCACCAACAACACAAAATGGTCCCCCATAACTTCATTAAACACAGAAAGGAAGACCAAATTAAAAGAATATAAACCATATCCATGTAACTCTATGCTACCGGGGTACAATCCATCAAATTAATCTACTGTTACATTTATTAGTGGCTTTTTGTTCAAAAGATATAAGTTAAAGCTCAAATAAATAGACAAGAAATCTTAAACGCGTATAGACAGAAAAAGACCAACTGCGATAAAGAAAAGAAAGAAACCACAAAAACCATCACTATACGTAGTGGAAGATGTCGAATGAATGACCCAAAACGTGGACAATACAATAGGCAATAAGAGCTCAACAAAACATCAAAAAACTCTAGAGGAAAGGAGTTAACCAACAAGCCAATCACAAGGAATCGTCTCTGTAACAACAGGGAGGTAACTGAAACAAACATGAAACAAACATCAAAGAGAACAAGTTCCCAAAAAGATGGGAGGAAAAGATCAAATTTTGATCCGATTTAAGAGCTCAAATACCAAAGACTTCAGATATTGTGAAGCCCTTAACAACCCTAAGTCACCAACCATCAAATACAAGAAAATCAAGAACACGGAACCTCAAAAGAGTAAGGAAAAGCTCATGTATTCAATAAAGGCAACTCCTTTGCTCCATTGGAAAACAAAGAGAAGGGATCCAAGGAGAACCAAAGGACCAGCTAAGCCCTTTCCTAAAAGTACAACAATAAGCCGCAGATGGAAAGCCAAAAGGAAGATGAAAGGAAGCCGCAATCACCACAGGAGCAACCCAAACAAATAAGAAAAAGGTAGCAGCAACAGAAAAGGCGGCACCTTTTCCATGGCTCCTCAAAGGTCTTACCTTTCTGCTTGCAAGAACACCCGGAAGCCAAAAGAGAACAAAGGGGAGGAAGAGAGGAGGAAGACTTCGGATACCGCTAGAGTAGGGAAAGAGAAGAGAGGAGAGAAGGGCGAGAGGAACAAAATGGATCGAGTCCGTCTTAATGAACTCTCTTCTCAGACACACACACACAAGAGAAGTCTTCTTATATACTCCACAGCTTCCAATTTCCTATCATTTTAAGACAAAGAAAGGGTTTTCAAGGTAGCTTCAAATTGGTGTACCCACTCATGGAGTAGATCATAAGAATCCATGAATATTATCAGCAGCAGTCATTAGCTATCCTTTTACTTCACTGCAAATAAATAATCATTGTACTAATTTGATGTCCATATTTTCTCTGTTCAGTCATTTTCCATGCTAAAAAGGTTCTGCAGCCAAAGGATGTGGTCACTGTGGATGACCCAAGTAAAGCCAATGAGATTGAGATTTCAATACTGGCTGAGGTTAGTCTGGTTGGCAACCTCCCCAATTCACTGATGGCTTATGGCCATCTCTGTAAGTTGATGGAATCCAAACCCCCAGTTTATGCAGTGGTTATGGGATCATGGTTTTGTGGTTGAGCAACCTGCCATATCTCCTCCATCCCATGACACAGGCAAATGTGGAGCTTGATGAGGATTCCATTTGGGGTCACCCACAAAGGTGGACTTATTCCAATGCTTGGAGAAGTGGAGCCCTTCTTGAGTCAGGCAATGTTTATCCAGTTGGATTCTCCATGGGGAGCACTGCAAAGAACAACAACTTGGCAAGTCTAGTTTTGGAGTAGATTTGGAGTAATTGCAATTTGGAGTAGATTTGCCATTTCCTTGAACCTATTAGTTTTTCTAGTTAAAATTGTCTTCTTTATCTTTCCATAATATTATAATAATTTAATTTAATTTTACATTAAAAATAAAAAAAAAGATTAAGATGGATTGTTACATGTTATGAAAATATCAAGATAATTATAATATCTTTTCTTTATTCTATCAAATCAAATAGTAAAAAAAAATTGTTACATGTTATGAAAACAATTAGTAATAATAAGGTATGAAAAAAATTAATAATAATAATAATAATATAGTCTTCTTCCTATCTTGTTCTTCCCATTTGCAGCAAGAATCACATGGTCCTTAAGATATGGAAGGATTGTTTTGGATAAACATGGGGGATGCATAAGATGTGGATTTTTTTATTAAATATTAATATTATTATTTTTCATCTTATCAACAAATGATGTCAGCACTGATCCTCTTCCATAATCAACCAATAAGAACACATTTTGAGATATGACCAGAATGGTCAGTGATTTAGAGTATGGACAAGTTAAATATGACATGCAAATGTTTTGATTGTGTGGGTCCACCCAAAAGTTGACAATGTCATTGACAGATTATGTTGTTTATTTTCTATTGAATTTTTTTCTCAAAGACAAGTTCTCTCAATTTGATGATCTAAACAACAGCAGAAAACAATATTGGAATCTAGGAATCAGCCTAATTTGAAGGTCTAATTAGCAGAGTACCAAGCAATGGTATCTCTTTTAGATTCAGTGAATTCCAAAGTCCACATAGGGATTAAACAGTAATTAATGAAGTAACTTCTTCCTCTGAGGTTGAGCTGAGGTCCATGCCATGTCAAATGTCATGTCAAAAAGCTTATTCTCCATCTTTTTGGATTAAAAACAAAGAGAGAGAGAGAGAGAGAGAGAGAGAGAGAGAGAGAGAGAGAGAGAGACTTTATTCTGTTTAATTTTTTAAATAATAAATGATTAAGATGAGATTTAATTTTAAAATATTTTTTACCCATCATTTATATATTTGACATGTTTAAAAAATTTGATATATCTTATTTGATTAAGATTGTTGGATGAGACTTCCATCTTATCATAATCAAACTAATATTTTAATTATAAAATTTTATTAAATAAGATTTTACCATCCAACCAATATTCTTAGTATAAAAATATATAAAATAAAAGTTTGATAAGTAGACATAATACATTATAACTATACTAATATTTTTTAGATATAAAAATTTATTAGATGAGATTACGAACCCTTAACTCTTCGTGAGTAAGTCTAATACATCACTACAATATTATTATTTTAAATATTAAAATGTTATCATATTCGACTTTAAAAGCCATGATAAATTATAAATTTGTTGAGTGATAGGCGAGTTTGATATATCATCATCATCATCATATTTATAAGTAGACTCATTATATTAAATAAAATAATCAATCTCACTAATCAATCTTATTATTTACATTCGTTTAGGTTTATTTCCCTTTGGGAGAGAGATAGAGAAGAAAAATTGATTTCTAAGTAGCTGAACAATATGTCAGAAACCTGAAGTTAAGTTCAAGATTGGAAGAGATTGTCATGTAATGATCCAAAACTTCTTTCTTGACAAGTATGAAGAAGCAGGTAGGTTGGTGCAATTAGGAGATTGTTTTCTTAGTTGATTGTAATAGGATTCATGATTGCTCTTCACTCTCCACACACATCCACTACGGTCTGGTGTGTGTGTGTGTCAGCTAACTGCAAGTAGCTGATTTGGGGCAAGTAAACTTCTGGTAGCTGCTGGGCTATCATAAGATCACTACATCTATGACAAGCAGCCTTCAAAGTTTCCTGAGATCATCCTCATGATTGTGCAGCACCTAAAGTTGAAAGTGATCTCACTGCAAACAGCTGATGCTCCTCACAGTTTGATTGAATGAAATGGGAGGGCTGGTCCCTCACAAGATCATTAATCCTGTGACTAGTAGTCTTCAAGCTTTCCTGTTACAGCAACATGCATTTCCATCACCTAAAGTTGGAAGGGAGCTCCTCCTCCCCATGGCTGTTTCTATCTTCACAAGGGCAGGTTGGAAGTTGGTGGCACGCATGCCATTGAATGATCATTCTCTCATGTCTCCTCTCACCTCTTATGATCTATTAAGATCAATGTATTTATTCATATCTATAAAGTGGTTGTTTGGATGATTTCAACCACCATTCTCTTTTGTCATAAAAGAGTAGGCGATTTTCTTATAAACTGTTTATATTTTAAGCATTTTTCGATCGATATCTCTCGTTTTACTTTTTTTTTTTCAATCGGTGTCCATAATTTAAAAATATCCAAAATATTCCTAAAAAATTTTATCCAAATTTTTCACTCATTTTTTATCAGTTTTAAACTATTACACTATTTTCATTTCGATCGTTTAGACTATTTTTTAAATAATATTTATAGTATTTTACTGAGATATCGAAAACACTATAAAGACTATTGAAAAACATTATAGATTGTATCTTTTTTATTGTCGTAGATCGTTACAATATTATATTTTTAAACTTGTAATAAGTTTAATTGAGGTTAAGAGTTCATTTGAATCATTTATAATGTTTTTGAGTAGGTTTTACAATACTTCAATTGTAGTGATCAAAAGACTCAAAAATTTTAATTTTTTATTTCTATTTTAGTAATGTTATTTTTAAATTATTGTAAATACTTATATGAATTATAAAAAAGTAAGTTTTGATATCAATTAGCTCATTTTATTTTATAATATTTTTGTTGTGTTAACGAAAATACCGTAACAGACTAAAAACACTATAATAAGCTAAAATACTAATATAAACTAAAATACTAATAGGAGAGAAAATCTCTAAGGAACAGATTAAGTATTTTTAAAATAAAGAATTCTGCTTGAGAAAAAAAACACAGGAGATATTTTATACTTAAAATGTAGATATTTTATAAGAAAATCAACCTAAAAAAGTAATCTTATCAAAATCATACAAACAAATTGAGTTTGGTCCAAAAGATTTGTGAATACATTGATCCAAAATTTAACTTGATTAAATTAAATACATCCAAGTTTTCTTTTTAATAATCTAACAAGTAGATGTGAATTGATTGCGTAGCTTGTGATCGTTGTGGATTCTTTCTTGTTTGATTGTGACCCAAACTATTGAAGAAATTGGTAGATCAACTAAAGTTATTAGTTTAACAATCATATTTATGATAGATATTACATGACACCAAATTTTGGTCGATTAAAAATATGGTAAAGAAATATATAGTTTGGTAGATCAACTAAAGTTATTAGTTTAACAATCATATTTATGATAGATATTACATGACACCAAATTTTGGTCGATTAAAAATATGGTAAAGAAATATATAGTGTGTGTGTGATTGATGGAAGAATCACTCGTATGAATCCCTACGATTAATCTCTATCACAGTAAATATAATTAGAAATATTTTATTATAATAATTAATAATTATAATTATCATCAAAGCACTAGAATATTTTCTTGATTGATGTGCAGCAAAACAGATGGCATATATTCTCAAATTTCTAAGGTAATCTGTGAAAGTCAAAAATATTCTTTGATAATGATTATCCAACGAAACTTTGGGTCTCATAGTTATATAGTTTTGATTCTCTTAAAGATAAAATTATATTAGTATATGACTAGTCAAAATCATTATAAATCTCATTAAGCATAATCTCTCATGCAAATAAGTCTTCTTGTATGAAATAACAACTCTAAAATTTTTAAATATTAACAGTAATCACCTTTGGAATATAATCAACATTTATCATAACTTGATTTTTGATTTAATTTGTAATGAAAAAAATGTTACATTTCTTATGATCCATATTCAATCTTGATAAATTACAATCATAAAACTTAATAATTTGAAAACTATTAATTCCATCATAAGCTACTATAATTAGTTGACAATCAAAAACTTTACATTTTGCTTTTATTAGTTGTAATATGTTTAATATCAAAAGTATTTTGAACCATACAGTTTTTCAAGACTTTTTGAAATTTAGCTGTATCTCAAAACAAATGTACCAAGATATTATTTAAGTTACAAAATAATAGATATCAAAAATATCTAATAAAATAACTTTAATATCATTCAAATATCATATA